TCTCCCAAGCTAAATATTTACTTCTTTATTTATGTTTGCATTCCTTGCCATCACTGGAATGCAAACTCCATGATAATAGGGATATTTGACTCATTTGTTCACTATGCTCAGTACCTAGAAAAGTGCCTAGGATACGATAGGCATTYAATAAGTATTTTGTGGAATGAATGAATAATCTGTATATACACGGGTGTGTTATGTATATCGGGAAGGGATGAAGAAGAGGAGAAGATAAGCAGCAGTTGTGATGTGGGAAGATCATATGCTTGTGTGTAAAAGAAGTACACTGGGTTGGGGATGAGCACAGAGGTAGAGTAGCTTAGTAGGTGCAGGACCCTGGACCCAATCCCCAACACCAACAAGAAGACTAAATTGAGCTTCTAGAGATAGTTCATTACCCTGGGCCATGATTACTCATTCCTGAGGAAGAAAGAAATCCAATAGTTTGCCATAAATAAGGCAGTAGTGAGGACAAGGTCCAACTTGACTGTGGACCACCAAAGGAAAAGTCTCTCTCTTAATATCTTCTGCACACCAAGGGAAATGGTGTCCTCTTATGCTCACAAGTAAAAATGGATTACCAGCTTGATAAGGAAGCTTAGAGAGCAGGCCAGACTGGAGAGGTGGGAAATGGTACCCCAGATAATTCCAAAGTCTTCCCCCTCTTTATAAAGAAGGTACTCTGGGGAGGGAAACTTTCAGAGATCGGGAAGTTCATTGCCAACACCATAAATTTGTGATTTGACTACAAAACACAATAGCTACAGCAAAGGAGTTATTACTGGTCTAGGGTTCTGCTTGGGTTTTTATGCCAGCTCCACATATTCCAGAGCCTGTAGAGGCAAGATATCAGGTTCAATGTATAATTGCCCTTCCTCTACTCTTGTTTGCTTTGATGGTGTGTGATGGTCTGATTTCTTCTCTTTAGGAGACATTCACCTGGTAAAGACCTGACCCTGCTTATTCCCACTTTTCTCTTTTTGCTTTCTACCCTCTTCCCTCTCCCAGAGTTTCCCTCACCACCTCCCTTGCTCCTTTCCTTTCTGACTCAGCCCTTTAAAAGCTCCTAGACTACATCATTTTTTTTTTCTCACTAAACCACAGAATGAGGGGCTGGGGTTGGGGCTCAGCGGTAGAGTGCTCACCTAGCACATTCGAGGCACTGGGTTTAATCCTCAGCACCACATAAAAAATAACTGAATAAATAAAATAGAGGTATCATGTCCAACTACAACTAAAAAAAATTTTTTTAAAAAATAAAGATTAGCTATTGGGCTGGGGTTGTAGCTCRGTGGAGGAGCGCTTGCCTAGCATGTGTGAGGCACTAGGTTCAGTTCTTGGCACCACATATAAATAAATAAATTAAAGGTCCAACAACAACTAAAAAACATTTTTTAAAAAATTAGCTATTATTATTATCATCATCATTAAACATCCCACATTTATTTTCTATATAATCTAAATGTAATTTTATTTAAGCACTTAAAAGATTAATTGTTCTTAAATGCTATTGTTGAGTGTGCAGTTTCAGTAATAAGGTGAGGGCAGAAGCAAAAGCCTGCATGTCAACCAGGGAGCCTAGAAAAAGAAGTTTTCACTGAAAGAAAGATTTGAGATATCACTTTTCTCCCTACTCCATCTACGTAAAAAACTTCTCTCAATTACAGCTATTCCGGTAAATATGGCAACTGTACCCAACCAGGATTTGACTACTCCTGTGTGTAAGGAAGGCAGAAACCATGACCATGACCCTTGGCTAAAGCTTGTTTGCATTCCCACTGGGGGGGTTACATTGGAAATACAAAATGGGATTAAACATCATATTCTGCAGATGTAGCTTCATATAGACAATCTTCTTCCACATAGGCAAGACCATACTCAAGGCCATTCTCTCCACACCCCAGTGTTAATGCCAGTCAGCTGTGGTTGTGCTGAGGACCCCTAATATGCATGCCTGGCTCCCAGATGGGTCTCGCTTTATCAGCACCATTTCCCTTCTCCTGAAATGCCCTGGTTGCTGAGAGATTGTTTCCAGATCTCAGGGCTCACTCTGTCCTGTTCCAGATCACAGCAGGGTTTACTTTCCTTCTTACAAGTTTGCTAGGAACAAAAAGTAACATTTCAACCTCCTGCCAACTCAACAGGAGATTTACTTCAATTAAAGGAAAGGACATTTGTTACTACAGGAATCCCATGTTTCAGCAAAGATAGGATTCCAGCTTGCCAACACCTTAGCAAACAGTGACCTGCTCTTTCTGGTTGTACAGTCAAGAAAAGCACAACGTCCAGACCCAGGATTGTTTCCAAGGTACAGATGCAGAGGCTGGCAGTCAGAGTGAGGTCACTGCCAGAGTAGTCCCCAACTGCTTGCCAGCAACCATGACRGGCTCTTTGACTGGAATGCTGTACCACTTCCCCAATAACTACCCTCCTTTTCTTCCTTACCAACAGAATCCTACACATATTGGAGACAGCACTATTCTCTCCTAAAAATACTACATTTCCCAGCCAGCCTTGCACCATTAAGAACAGTGACTTGCAAGATTTCAGGCAAAGTTTTGCCTCTCTAATGATACTTTTGCCTTTGACATATACCATATTGAAAGTGATAGTGGTCTTAGGGGAAGTGCCTCGAAGCAGTTAGGATTAGAATGTTTCCTAAGGATTTTTTTCTTTTTCTGGTGCTTGGAATTGAATCCAGGGCCTCATTTATGCTAAGCAAGAGCTCTACTACTGAGATATACTGCCAGATTTGCTAAGGATTATTTGTTTTTAATAGAGAAGAATGTAGTTTTATTGAATCTTTGAAATGCCCCCCTTCCCCTTCCTATCTACCTCTCTCTAGGGTCTGGGGTTTGTGAAGCTAATTTGGTTAACTAGTTTTCTTTTCATTTAATTCCCAGTTTGTAATTATGCTCAAAGGCTTCGAAAGTGCTTGAAGTCTGCTTTCTAGATAACCAGGGAATTTCTGTATATGAATTGATTACTTTTTAAAAAATGATTCATAGAGTTTCATACTGAATATTTGATATTCTAAGTGAAAATGATTGAATATCTTCCCTTTTTTCAAAGTTACTAATCCGTACTCAAGAAAACATAGAACTATAAGTTATTATAGAAAGATCAAAAAGTGTAGGGCATGAACAATTTATTTCAATAAAGTAAAAGGTCTAAAAAAAAGAAAATTCTAGTTGTGCTTATGTGCTTAGCTATAGATTACCACTAAATCCTATCATCACCTAAAAAAAAAAAAGGAAAGGATTGATTTTGCTACAGTGGGAAAAAAATAAATTCCAAAGTCCCTACATTTACTGAATCCTCATTTATCTCTGGACAATGTCTTTATCTCAGTGTCTCAATTCCCTCTATTTTCTTTTCACACCAAACTATTGAATGAGAAATATATCAAGCTGACTGATTTTATTCCAGTCGTCTTTCTAATTTTTATTCCAGTCATCTTTCTAATTTTTATTCCAGTAAATAATTTTGACTTCAACATTTACCATATTGGAAATGACAAGTGTCTTCAGGTAAGTGTATCAAAGCAATTAGAATCAAAATATTTGCTAAGGATTGTTTCTTTAATGGAACAGAATATGGCATGGAATATATGAATCTTTGAAATGCAGAACCCCATGAATATCTTTTATTGTGAAATAAAATAATCCAAATGATTGTAAACCCAAGAAACAAAAAAGAGAAGCACTTAAACATTTAGTACAAACACATGCATTTTCAAACCCTGACATTTTTGTGTAGTAYTTATAATCTAAAYACACCTTTCCCTTCCCTTTACAACATACCAYTGCAACCTGTTTGTTTATAGAATGAAGACCTTAAGGAAAAGCCTTATTCACATTCCCATGAAAGAAAGAAATATTTTTTCCTAGGATCAATTTAGCTGAAATTGATTAAACACTGGTAGAGGTTCCAATCTTTATATAAGACAAATAAGATGATAGATGATATTTCATTATCAACAAATTCCTATTAATACAGCCAGTTAATTAAATTATTCAGATGCATTTATTGAAACTATGTGTAACTATTGTTCAAAAGCAGACACATTTCCAAAGATGTAAAGTGGGCCACTAAAATAAAGTAATAACTCCAGAAGTTTATAACTTTGGTATACTAAAATACCCAAATGATAAGAAAAAGTTTGTCGCTACTATTGCTGCTGCTTTCAAAATTGCCCATTTATTTCTAGGGAACAGTTCAGACACTGGAAGAATATAATTCAAGTTTAAGCATCAATAAATGATGGCTATACCTTTATGATTTAACACRACAGCAATGTGAAGTACATTCTGGTGATCTATAGTGCTAGCATCTATGCAAGGCAGTCTGGAAAATTACGCTAATTTTTTTTAAAAAGACAATATTAATTTCATAATAAACCAGGACATAGACCAACTGCAACTTAGAAGGAAAGCGAAACCTTCCCCCTACTGCTAAAATTATAATTCCTCAGACACACTGTCATCATTGGGAAGCATGGGTGTAGGCTAGATAAATTTATASCATATTGAATAATACAGCCAAGTTTTTTGTATGTAACCCTGAAGACTTTCCAACTTATTTTTCAACATTACAATTGTAGGAATGGGAATTAAAGAAATGAAAAGTATTTTCTTAGACATAACTAACAGGTTTCTTACAGTCTCCAAAGTCAAAATGTGACACATCACTGTAACAACCTAACACAAACTATTTTGTCTATCACCCATAAKACATAACTTCATAGGACATCACATTTCCAACGACTAAGTACTTCTTTCAATTTCCTTGAATTTTTTTTTAAAATTTCCTAAACTATATAAGTTCTTTTTCCAGGTCAAGTGTTATCTTCTGGCAAAGTACCTTCAGGATAAATATGCTTCATCATTTATATATCCCACAATTCAAGCCTCCATCATATACAAGCTCAGAACTCCCCACATTTATTTTTAAAAATTACTTAAAACACTAGAGGAAAAAATCCCTCTGAAAATCAAACTCAACTTCATTTCTTAAAAAAAAAAAAAAAAAGCCTCAGTTAAAAAATAAAAAAAAGCCTCAGTAGTCTTCCATTCAGAAACATGCTTTTCGGTGAGTAAATAAAATTAAATGAAAATAATAAACAGTTATTAAATAGCAAACTTAAAATAAATAAATACTTGTCGTCTGGAGTTCTCAGATAAAATAATAGGGAAATATCTGTTTCTGGTAAATTCACATTCCTTTCTGTACCAGTTTCTATAATGAGTGGGCGACACTGCCCTCTTATGGACTTATTGAGCTACATCCCTTAGTTCTTGTGGAAAATTTCCCCAGGATGGGTTGACCAGCAGGCTTGCTCGCACTTACATTCTTTCTTTTGCTTCTAGGACAGTCTTTGCCTTTCTGTGAATGACTCTGAAGACCAAGGAGCCCCTAGAGAGGCTGTGAGACTTTGAGAAGTCTCATTGAAGGGACCATAAATTGACATTTGTTGCAGTGGTTTTCAAGGCTTAGTGTACATCAGAATCATCTGCGGGCTTGTTAAACACAAGTTCCTGGGCCCCACATTCAGACTTTATGCTTCCTTAAATCTGGGATTGAGTACAAGAACTTACTAGGTGATCCCAGCAAGTTCCTGGATGGTACTAATGAGCCAGTCCTGGGACCACACTTTGTGGGCGGGGCAGGAAGAAGAGGGCATGTCAGYTCCAGGCCCTTTCTGGGTCCCAAACAGGATTCTGGAGTTCTTTTTATCAAAAACTCCTGAAGAGAGATTTTAAAGCAAGTGTCTCCTCTCACAGGCATTTTGAGGACCTCAAAGCCTAGTGAGATTTGGAGAGAAACCAGAGGGTGGCACCCTCTCCAGCCCCAGCTCAAATCATCAGGGTGGGGTCAGGGACCCGCCCCTACCACTAGAAATAACTCTAAAACAGGTGTATCTGCACAGCTATGTGAGGTCTAAAAGGTTCTTGATAAAGGAAAGAGTTTTCAGGTCACAAACTCCATTAGAATCACACGAGTGAGAAGTTCCTAATATGCAAGCCCAGGCTGCATGTCAGTGATGGTAAAAGGGCTGTGAGCATCCACCCACTTTCACATCCTTTGCACTCAGTTCTTAGCCCAAAGTGGTGTTTTTCTGGAACATCCCATGGGAGTAGTTTCAGGCCGAGGTCATTAGGGGGAAAGGATGTTCTCAGAAAAACAACCCTGCGGGCTGGTCAGCAGAGATCCTGAGGTCGTGGCCACGGCTGGATTTGGTGCAGAGTTGGACCCGGGACTCCAGCTGCTCACTAAGTTCGTCCAGAGCCCCGGTGCAGGACTCCAGGCTCTCCGCCAGTTTCTGAATCTTGGCCTTCAGAACCGCCTGGCTAACCTTGGTGGCCCCCTCCGCGCGCCTGGGGATGAGGAAGCCACGTGAGCCAAAGAAGACGATGAAGTACACAGAGTTGTACAGGGCCATGGAGGCGTTCCTCCCGCTCTGCAGCAGCTGGCGGTCCCCGCGGCCCTGCCAGYGGCAGAAGAACTCCAGGCAACTCAGGATCTCACGCATCTGTCCTGGCAGGTGGCAGTGATCTCCTGCACCCTCCGCACCTCCCCGGAGTTGAAAATCAGGAAGCGATCGGATGTGATGGTGACTGCCCCTCCAGCGGTGGCCACCCCTAGTCCCACAGCCGACGCAAGAAGCGAGGCACCCAGGGTGACAGGGCTGAGCGAAAGCCCCACGATGGCAGCGACGGCGCCCGCGGCGCTCAGTGAGCTGCCCGCCACATTGGCCGCCAGGGATCGCCGGCGGAGGCGCTCTAGGCGCCGGGCCACCTCGCGCAGGCGCAGCACCTGGCCGTGGAGCTGGCCGCGGCGATCCAGCAACAGCCCTTGGAAGCGACGCAGCGAATCCGCACCTTGCGGCTCCCAGGCCGCAGGCCGCTCCATGCCCTGAGGGGACACAGAAAAGCAATTACCTGGAGCCTTGGTGCCTGCCGCTATGCCTGTGCTTCCCTCACCTAAGTGAGAGTCGTCAAAAATTAAATACACCCGCTATTGCCACGCTAGGTGAAACCGGTCCATTTCCAATGGGTCATGTGTCAAGTTCTCAAAGTTCGGGGATCTGGAACAAGTCACACTAGTTCTCAGACACTATATCCGCATACGCAAATAGGAATAATGCCATCTTCTGCTTCTCTCCCAGGGAACGCTAAAGATGGACTGCATCAACTGTTAAATATTTAAATGGGGGTGGGTGGGGGTAGAAGGCTACTCCAAAACAGAGGCCTTTGCTGTTTGAAAGATAACATTTTAGCCTTTCATCAAATGAAGACTTGGATCCTAGGAATTTTCCAATACCATTTTCCCCATCTCTTTCTCTGTTAAGTAAAAAAAGATAAGTCACCCCGAATCTCAAAAGAATATTGTCTTTCAAATTTAAGAAACTGATTTTTCTAAGTTRGATTCTTGCCTGAAGCAACTCTCTTTGGTTTGCTAATCTTCCAGGCTCTTATCTTTGAATCAAGCCTAAGATATSACATCCATCTAATGCCTCCATGTCTTGAGGTGTTTAAAGCTTCCTTTTAAAAATTAAGGGAACTTTAATATAATTAAGGAAAAATATCAAGAAAACTTTGAAAAAATAAAGTGACCAAAAACATTGTTTGACAACTCACTGAGGGTTACCTATCTAGTACCAAATTGAATTGAAGCCAGTGGAAGGTGACTAATAAAGAGAAAACTGAACATCCTGGGGTAAAAGTACATCCTTCCTAGTTACCAGAGATTCCCATCTTCATGTCAACCGTAGTCTTCTCCGTCAGGGATTTCTTTAAAGTGGCAAATAAGCCACAAAAAGAAAGCATTTCAAAACTGTGAGATATCAGRACAAAAATCACTACTCTCCTCTAGAAGATGAGGAAATTGAACCAGAGACATGTTCTAGATGCAGCTGATTCTTCACAGAGCCTAGTTTAGCATCTTTATCTCCTGACTCCTGAATCTTAATTTTACTTTCAGGCTTCCATAAGTCAACCTACAAGTGATGTTTCCAGATAAAAAGAAGAAATAAGAAAAAGACTTCCCTGATACATATTGGACAAGGCTACAACCCTTGTATTACCATCCAAAGGCCATTTCTCAGACAATATCCTAGAATCCCCACTTACCATTCACTTCTGGCTGCCTCCAGGAAAGAAAATTCCGAGGCTGTTTCTGGATAAGTGTGCTTTATAGTTCCAGGGAACCAATAGCCGCCCTGGGAAAGCTTTGTCTCATTCTGAGAATTTGCCATTTCCTGCCCTGACCCCTGCTGCCTTCACCCAGAAGGATGTGACATGGTGGAAAATGACCTGCCAGCACAGCACATCCCGTATTTAGGAAATGAACATTGTGTGTTCGCTTTCCCCCAAACGCAGGAAGAGAACCACAGGCTCTTCCCTAACTTGAAACGAGTGTTGTCATCCTCCCAGGGGCGATACCCTGCCTTTCCTCTCCTGAGAATAGCCAATGACGCCATCGCGGAGGCTTTCAAACGCACCCCAGGCTGACCAATTATAGTATTTCTTGAGAGGTCAAAATCATTTTTAAAAAGAAAAGAGACGGGTGGATCTGATATAGCCACTCAGAGCCCACGCCTATATTTCAAATAGTATTGTGCATCTGTGAGTGGCTCGACACATGTGATCCTTGAGCTGTACAGCCAGCTCTACCCGGTCTTAAGAATGCAAGGCCACGCCCGCCAGAAGGGCTGCGTGTAGTTTTGGGCATCTCCAACCGTGGAGAACATAGGAGGTCTCAGAAAGGGCACACTGCAGGCCAAATGAGTCAGAAAAATCAGTAGGGTTAAGCTGTACACAGAGCTAATTAGACCCTTTCCACMGCAGAGGAGATATGGCTTCCCTGGTTTTCATTTGTGGCTCTTGTGAAAGTTAAATGAGTGGATTCTATCTATAGGTTAGTGAAGCATGGGCTGAAAGACAATTATTTGGATGATACAGGAAGGAAAAATGAGCGCAGCATCTGGGAACTTGAACAGACCTGTGAACTCAGTCATCACCACAGGGACCCAAACACATGGCCCTCCCTGTAACATTCTCACCTTTGGATTAGGAAGACCAAATTGATTTTTCAAYTAAATGATTATTGCCTCCACTCTCTGATTCATTTGGAAAATCTTCACAACCCTATCATTCTGGAATACGATTAAGTCACTAGCTTTTACAACTTATATTTATCAAMAATACAATTTATAATTTGTTTATCAACATAGTATCATCCTCTACTATGTACATCCACAGTCATTTTGAACTTGATTATTCTGACCTTGGTCAGTGTTCAAATATTCTGGCTGCAGCTCCTCAAAGGATAAACATAACCTTGGTCAAGATGCCTTCAATATCCACCTGTGCTTTTGAAGTAAGAAGTAGGCAAATATATCTTCTGTCCCCATACACATAAGCCCYCCAAATGGGATGTAAGCCAGGGTAAACTGAGAAGGTGGACTAGGAGAGGCTGTACTCTGAAACTTCGGTTCCCACATGCTCCAACTTCTCTGCACATTGTTCTGTGTGTTTGGGGCTTAGATGAACACAATCAAATATTTATTTCATGAATGAGGAATGCAGGGTCTTTCTGGGATGCAGGCTCTTCTTCAAAGTATCAGTAATCATAGTACAAAAATAGAATGAAGAAGTGGAAAATCTATGAGAATGGACAACATGTGAACTGAACTCAGCCAATGTCCTGGAATTTGCTATTCTCTGTATTGAAAACCCATTTCTCTACATCCGCCTCTTTATGAAGGGGGGGTGATCCAATCATTTGATTATTAGGGCTACTTGTAATTTTACTGCCTGAAATAACCTATTTACATTGCAAATTATTTACAAGAATTGACATGTAACACTTTCAATCCAGCATTCGTCTTTTTGTRTGTGTGTGTGTGTGTGTGTGTGTGTGTGTGTGTGTGTGGTGMAGGGTGGTCTCACTGTGTTGCCCAGGCTGGCCTTGAATTCCTAGGCTCAAGTGATCCTCCTGCTTTAATTCTCCAGAGTAGCTAGCATGTACCACTATGCCTGGTAAATTGAAGATATTTTGATCAAAAGTTCTATGGTCAGTTTCTCCAAAAAAATCTGTGGACTGTGTCTTCAAACTCTAAACAAAACTATTTGTTGGGCATTAGTAGCATAACACCCTAGAGAGAAAAGGTTGCAAATGGTGATGGAATAAAAGACAAAGAGACAAACCCTCATAAATACAATTATCTCATACTAGATAAAGGTGCCAAAAACATATATTGGAGAAAGGATAGCCTCTTTAACAAATGGTGCTAGGAAACTGGAAATCCGAATACAGCAATATGAAACTAAATCCCTATCTCTCACCATGCAGAAAACTCAAAGTGGATCAAGGACCTAGGAATCAGACCAGAGACCTTACGCCTAATAGAAGAAAAAGTAGGCCCAAATCTTCATCATGTTGGATTAGGCCCCAACTTCCTTACAAGACTCCTAGAGCACAAGAAATAAAATWAAAAATCAATAAATTGTATGGAGTCCACCTAAAAAGCTTCTTCTCAACAAAAGAAATGAGGTGAACAGAGTGCCTACATTTGGGGAGCAAATTTTTGCCACATGCACGTTAGAAAGAGCACAAATCTCCAGGAAATATTAAGAACTCAAAACACTTAACACCAAAGAAGAAGAAGAAAAAAAAAAAAACAACCAAATAACCCAATCAATAAATGGGCTAAGTGTCTTCTGACACTTCTCACCCTAGGTACACATATGATTGCACGAAGGGTATGACCTTATTTTGGGTACAAATGCTCCATTTGTGTACAATAAATCAAAGATCATTCTGCTGTCGTGTCCTGCCAGCTGGCCGGGCCGGTGAAATGAGCTGGGTTTAAAGGAGCTGGCTGCAGCGATAAACTAAGAAAACGGTGAAGAAACCATGCAACACACAAACATGAGTTTCTCATGCCSAGGGTGGGACTGCTCTGCGACCTTAAGGGTYAGCTCCATACTGGACAGCTCTGGAAAGAGAGCACCCACCTGGAATCTCTTACTTTATAGGGGGGGGCACACAACAGGAGCTTCGATGGAATGTTCTTCACCAAATAAGGCAGGGGATAGGGTTTCAAAAGGTGGAGTCTTGCTTTGTGATGTCTTGTGGTCAGCAGATTGATTGACATCTTGGCARGTCACACCCATCTCAGGTGCTGTGTGAGATCACAGGCAGAGTGAGGGGAAAGGTGCGCTTGCGTAGCACAGCCCAATCAGCATGCAATGCTAGACTACTCCCCTCATATAGCTCAAATGCACATAGCTCACACACACACACACACACACACACACACACACACAGCCCATGGATGGCTCAGAAACAGTCATGTATAACTGATGGAAGGAAGGAAGGAAGGAAGGAGAGAAGGAAGGGAAAAAAAGAAATCGGTGGCAGGCCCTCTGACTAGCCTTCAGATGTGTTAAATTCATGATGTGTAGCACTAACAGGACAGACTTGGATTCTAAGTCTAGAACCATAAGGGAATACAGTCCAGGAAGGAAGAGAGGCCAAGAGTTTGTTTGTTGGTTTGTTTGTTTTAGTTTTAGGTGGACACAATGTCTTTATTTTATTTTTATGTAGTTCAGAGGCTCAAACCCAGTACTCACACACTAGGCAAACGCTCTACTTCTGAGCCACACCCTCAGCTTATGGCCAAGAGCTTTTTAAGGAGAGAAGTCTTCCTAACTCTGGAGAGTATTGTTCAGGAGGGCTGGAGTGTGTCTGGGAAAACGCAGGTGTTCTGACTACAGCTGAGGCTGTGATCCACTCTCCTAGAGGCTGCTAATTTTCTGGTGATGGTCACGTGACAAACTAGTAAGAGAAGAGTGTTAGGTGGTTATACGGTTGGTTATGGACAAATCATTAGTTTTAGGTCCTGCTTAAGGACCTAAAACTATCTTTTTTTTTTTTAAGTGCTAGAAATCAAATCCAGGGCCTCATGCATGCCAAACAGTTACTCTACCACTGAGCCACATTCCCAGCCCCAAACTATCCAGTTTTAAAGATAAAGTGATAATTCTACTCAGGGTTTCCCAAATAAAATTTTAAAACAAGATATAAAACTCGTGGCTTATTTTTTTAATTATAATGTAGTATGTCTTATAATGTTGATATTTTGGCAGGGGTGGGTACTGGAGATTGAGCCCAGGGTGCTTTATCACAAAGCCACATCCCCATCCCTTTTTTATTTTTTTATTTTGAGACAGGTTCTCACTAAGTTGCTTAGGGCCTTGCTAAATTGCTGAGGCTGGCTTTGAGCCTCCTGCCTCAGCCTCCCAAGCCACTGGGATTATAGGCACGAACCATGCCTGGCCAATGTCAGTAGTTTTCTATTCACAATGCTATTACTGAATTTATGAAAATATTAATTCATAGTTCACTACATAATAAATTGGCACAAATTTAGTATATGATGGTTTTTTCCCTGTAAATTTTTGTCAGTATATCTCAGTGACTAGATATAGAACACCATTTGGAAACAATCTCAAAAGTTGAAATTTGAGCGTGATGTACGATACCACACCTGCAATTCCAGTGACTTGGGAAGCTAAGGCAGGAGGATTTAAATCAGAGGCCAGCCTCAGCAACTTAGTGAGGCCCTGTTTCAAAACTAAAAGTTTAAAAGGACTAGGGATGGATCTGRATGGGTTCAATTCACAGTACCATAAAAAAAAAAAAAATTAAGCTGGGCACAGTGGTACGTGCCTGTAATCCCAGCAGTTTAGGAGGCTGAGGCAGGAGGATCACAAGTTCAAAGCCAGCTTCAGCAAAAGCAAGACACTAAGCCACTCAGTGAGACCCTGTGTCAAACTAAAATACAAACTAGGGCTCCCCAGTTTGAGTGACCCTGAGTTCAATCCCCAATACCCTCAAAAAAAAAAGTTTAAAATGGAGATAATTTGTGAATATGAGGTTTAGGCCAAATGTCTTTGAGACCTTTGTAAAACATTCTAATGAGTACATTCATTCAAATAAAGAAATATAAATTATCCAGGCATGGTGGTAAATGTCTGTAATCCCAGAGAATAGGGAGGCTGAAGCAGGAGGATCACAGGTTCAGGACCAGCATGGGCAATTTAGTGAGGCCCTGTCTCAACATTAAAATGGGAGGGCATCTTGGCAGGTCACAAGCTGAATATAGGCACATTGGGAGGAACAAACTAG